ATATTAGCAAATGTTTGCTACATTATTTTTTACACATAAAAGCGTGTTTTAAAAATAAGCCCTCTTGATACTCGAGCCATGTGTATCTTTCTCTCTCTATCTTTATCCATGGGTGGCGCGGACCAATCATCCCCACACCTAGGGATGGCAATGGACTAAATAAAAGGAGGTATTCGTCCAAATCCAGTTTTGTTTGGACCGAAAATAGACTATACATATTAGCGAGGACATTTAAAGAACATACACAAATACCCTAGCAGCCCATACCCACTTTGCCTTTGGGCAAACCTTTGAGCATCTATCTCTCTGCAGCTTTACCTCTTTTAGTAAGAGTTCACCCAGCAAGCCTTCTCTCTTGGAACTTTGGGCAAAACTGAGGACAATAATCTGACTTTTGTCGATCTATAACTTTCTTTAGGCAACGAAAATGATTTTAATCATGCATTTTTTAAACTTAAGGATATAACTAAACCTATGATACAACAATCCTCACAAACTACGCACATGGATTTTATCAGATCATGGGAACTCTGGAGTAACAGATATGTATCTCGTCCATTATTCTGAACCAACCAGTACGGGTTGACATCCACGTTTAGAACACCAAGATTACCTAAGCAAATCCCAGAGCATGGGATGTTATCACCATTCCATTCCACCACATTAAGGTGTTAATGGGAGTTGCTGCTGAAATTACCTAGGAATTGAATTGAGATCGATATTGACACTCATACTGAAGTGAAAAAATAAAAGAACAATCACACAAAACAAAATAATTTACATGATTCGGCTAATAGTCTACGTTCACTATAACAACCATCGGATATTGGTGGTTGTATGATTTCACCCTAAAAGTCCATGGTGTTCTGTCCATAATCTTACTTTGTCCATAAAAGGCCGTAAGGCATACATCCTGTGGATTTTTGTAAGAGTGGTGTTGTTGGCAAAGATATTTTAACATCATACATGGTGGTTGGAAGCACCTTATATTATTTTAACATCACTATTTACGATATGTCATGAATTTGATTGTACATAATTATTAAAAAATACGGTATAGGATTGTCAAGTTTCCAACTCTTTTTTTTCCTTTTTTTTTTTTGTGTTCAATTATTTTGGTATCTTGAGAAAGCATATGTTTGATGGATCAGATTTGCAAGCATATCATATTGGAATACGTTTATGGATAAGAGTTGGATACATATACATAGACTGGACCCGTTGTATGAACAAGGAGTTAAGAATTTTATCAAGTTTGCATGTGAAAATAAACCAAATGCACTGGAACTCACGTGCCCATACAAAAATTGTCGTATTGTTAGATTGGTAAAAGTGAAACTTTTGGAAGAGCATTTAATTGTAGATGGGTTTCTCGAGAGTTACACTCGTTGGATTTTTCATGGGAAAAGTTCATTGGCTTCGGTTTCTGAAGATAATGAATCAAGTGACTCTAGTTCGGGAGATGAAATTCAAGAAATGTTGCATGATGCATTTGGGATTCCCCCTCCAAGTCCAATTTGTGGAATTAGTAGTGACAAACCTAAAGGGGATAATAGAGAAGGGCCAGATCAGGCAACAGAAAAGTTTTTCAAACTGTTGAGTGAAGTTGAACGAAAATTATATCCAGGATGTACCAAGTTTTCGACACTGTCATCTGTCGTTCAATTGATGCACATCAAGTGTCTTAATGGATGGAGCGACAAGTCATTCACAATGTTACTTCAAGTACTAAAAGATATGTTACCTGAGGGTAACACGTTGCCCACTTCATTTTATGCAACTAGGAAGTTGATTAAAGAGTTAGGTCTAGATTGCATTAAGGTATATGCATGTCCCAATGATTGCATGTTGTATTGGAAGGAGATAGCTGCTAGGAATGACTACAAGAAATGTCAAACATCTAGATATAAACAAATTGATGGTCAACGAGATGAAACAAATATTGGAGGGCAAAATATCCCGCAAAAAGTTGTAAGGTATTTCCCTTTAATGCCGAGACTTCAGAGATCGTTTATGTCATCAAAAACAGCAGCATTGATTACATGGCATGCAACAGACCAAACAAATAATGGGGTACCAAGACATCCAGTTGATTCTCTTACTTGGAAAACTCTTGACCAGTTGTATCCCAATTTTGCTAATGATGCACGTAATGTTAGACTTAGATTAGCGTTTGATGGGTTCAATCCATATAAGACAATGAGTATTTCTCATAGCATATGACCTGTTATTTTAATGTCATGCAACTTGCCGCAATGGTTGTGCATGAAACAACCTTATATGATGTTAACACTGATTATTGATGGTCCTCGTGCTCCTGGGAATGACATTGATGTATACTTGCGCCTTATAGTGGATGAATTGAGAGAGTTGTGGGAGGTTGGTGTTAATACATTTGATGCATCTAGAAACCAGATATTTCAAATGCGGGTAATGCTATTATGGACAATTAATGATCTTCTGGCGTATGCAAATTTGTCGGGATAGAGCACAAAAGGTAATTTAGCTTGTCCTTGTTGTCATAAGCACACCCGTCACTGTTGGCTGACAAATGGAAAAAAGCTTTGTTACATGAGGCATCGACGCTAGTTGGGTCAAGATCATAGATTTTGTAAAGATAAATCGTCATTTGATGGCACTGTTGAAGTTGAAATGAATTCAACTTAACTTTCGAGTACAAATGTGTTACAAATGTTTCCTTCAGATTATCAAAACAACTTTGGGAAGGATGGCAAGGTAGCCATTCCAGGAAGCGAAAAAGGAGGTTAGATGGGGTATATGAAGATGACGAGACTCATCTAAGCTACAATTGGAAGAAGAAAAGCATTTTCTTTGAGTTGGCTTATTGGGAGCACAATCCGATTCGACATAATCTTGATGTGATGCATATTGAGAAGAATTTTTGTGACAATTTATTATGAAATCTTTTAAATGTTGCTGAAAAAGAGAAAGACAATCTGAATGCTCGACTAGACTTGCAAGAAATGGGCATTTGAAAGGCCTTGCGCCCACAACAAGCGGGTAACAAATTTTATTTGCCCCCTTCATGCTTCACTGTGGACAATGGGGAGAAAGATGCAATTTGTGCACTTCTAAAGAAACTCAAAGTTCCAAATGGCTATGCATCAAATATTTCTCGGTGTTTTAATGTTAAACAACGTACTATATCTGAACTAAAAAGCCATGATAGTCATATATTAATGCAACAACTTTTTCCGATTGCTATGAGGAGTTTATTGCCTAAGAAAGTGGCTGGGCCATTAATTAAGCTATGTAATTTTTTTAGGCAGTTATGTTTAAAGGTCCTGCAAGTAGATGACCTAGACCGCCTCCAGTCTCGGATTGTGTTTACACTTTGTCATCTCGGAAAAATATTTCCGCCAAGCTTTTTCAATATCATGGAGCATTTGCCGATACATTTAGCTGAGGAGGCTAAGATTTGCCGGCCCGGTGCAATATCGTTGGATGTATCCAATAGAGAGTTGAACCATGATGCATATATAACTAAAACTTTAATGTAAATTCTCTCTCCCATTTCATGTCATTTCATTTACCATTGGTCTGTAGTTGTAGGTTCCTCTACACACTTAAATCATATGTGAGGAATAGGAGTCGGCCAGAGGGATCCATTGAACAAGGATACTTGGTGGAAGAATGTATGACATTTTGCTCAAGATATTTGCATGATGTCAAGACCAAGTCACTTTGATGAGTGAGGAATTATGATGGTAATATCACATTTGATGGGCAAGGAGGTCGTCCCTTAGGAAGTGGAAAAGTGTTGACCCTCAGTGACATAGAACGACAGCAGGCCCATCACTGTGTTCTCATTAACACTCCCGCAGTTATCCCATTTCAAGAGTAATACTTGGTTTCATTTATTGGTATTGTGTTAGAATAGTTAAACAACTTTATGGTCATTGCATTCAAACAAGAATTTTTTACGCGGGGAACATCGTGCCTTTATTAGAATGTTCAATTGTCGTGTGAGGGATCATGAAGTCGATCACATTCACAACGATACATTTCACATATGGTTTGCATCCTATGTGTGCAACGTCGAGAAATTTACATATAATTTCAAGTTAAGTGACATGTTATGTGTTAGTGTTTAATATTTCAAAGTTTCCATTACTATAGGTTCAGAAGTTGATAGCAGCAGGAAATATGCAACTTTCTAATGAGATTATGACACTAGCTATGGGTTCGTCTAAGCAAGCCACTAGGTCCATAGGGTACATTATCAATGGTACAAGGTATCACACAAAGAAACATGAACGGAGAAGAAAAAATCAAAACAGTGGTGTTATGCTAAAGGCAAGTACTCATAGTTATGTTAGTTCAAGGGATGTACATCCCGTGGAAGGAGATGTTACATATTACGGAGTGTTGACTGATATTGTTGAACTATATTATTCACACGACTGTAAGTATGTATTATTTAAGTGTGATTGGATCGATAACAATAGGGGTCTTGTCGAGCGGGATGACTTTGGTTTTACACTAGTCAATTTTAGAAATTTGCTTTACACCAAGGAATTGATCTCTGAAGAACCATTCATCCTAGCATCTCAAGCACAAGTCTTCTATGTACAAGATCCCATTGAAGAAGATTGGAAAACAGTCATCAAGGTGAAACCTAGAGATTTTTTTGAAGTCTATGGACAACAACCAAGAAAAGATGCTAGGATGCAGCATAACCAGGTGGAAGAATATGGGCAATAAGATTTAGATGAAACTACTATCGATCATGACGACAACGACATGGTCTGGGTTAGACAAGGTGTGGTTGGAACCACAGTTCATGGTTATGATAATGAATGATATATGAATTGTTCTTTTTTTAATATCATGAGACTTTATACATTTAATTGCTTTGGATTTTTCATTGCAATGTAAAATGTCGAGCTCTCTTTTAATATCATGAAATTGCTTAGTATTTATATGTTGATGACACACTTTCAAACTCTTGTATATCCATAAATGGTTCATAGTTTGCTATGCTGGAGAATGTGCACATGATTCCAGAACCACCATCATGGTGGCACCCTACTTCTAGCCTCCCAGGTACATTATTTGGTTGTAGATTATGTTTTTCTCACAATTTGATATTATGCATACAATTATATGTTTAGTAATTTAAGTATTTATAATTCAGGTTTCAGTACCAACCATCCATCTTGTGGCCAATCACTAGACGATGATGGCAATACATCACGCAACGACGATGGTATATTTTAGTAATTGAGGAATAGATAGTAATAATTATCACTAAACATGATATTGTAATCACTCAACAATTTTTTTTAAGTGTAGGTTCCAAATCCTCGGATTTTATACAGAGGCGAACTAGAGGTCCTACCTTGACGCATGGCGGCAGTGTGCTACACATTGAGGAAAATGAATTAAGGCAACCAATTGGTGAAAAAGCCTCTCCACTTCAATCTCGTTTAGGCATGCTAGCTCGAAATGGGACCATGGCACCTTTAAATTGGCACGAGTGGCGTGCTGTTCCCAAGGAGTACAAAGAAATAATATGAGATGAAATAAAGGTGGAAAGTTTTTGAATTGACACCCTTAAATTGACACGAGTGGTGTGTTGTTCCCAAGGAGTATAAAGAAAGAATATGGGATGAAATAAAGGTGGAGAGTTTTTGAATTTATTTTATAGTTATTAAGTGATTGTATATAGCTTTTGCATGTTGTTAATGGTTTTTGAATGGAATTGTAGGCAAGCACTGATGCAAAAGAGTGGATGAAATGATATCTAATGAAGTCTATAGGGAGAAAGTGGAAAGTCTGGAAGTGTGAGATTAATAAACAAGCTTATTATCCCTATAGAACTGATGTACAATGATTAGCTCACAAGCCTGACCGAGTGGAGGAATCACATTGGCGGGCCTTAGTCTATTATTGGAGCACTCCGAAGGCACGAGTACAAATATGCAAGTGTAAATCTTGTCAATTCTAAAAGAAGTCATTTCTCTTTTTTTCTTCAAATTTTTATGATAATTGCTTTTGGCATGTAATAGGAAAAAAGTGAGAGGAACAAACACATTCGGAGCAAGAAAAAATTTCATCACACCACTAGCCAAACAAGCTTTGCATGTGTTATGGAAAAAGTTTGTTAGAAAACAAATGTGTTTTATATTAGACTTTTATTCAAGTTTATTTATTGTGTCTATTTTAACTGTTGGAAAGAAAAAGAATAATGGGAAGAAAATGAGTCGTATTGAATTTTTTAAGGTTGCATATTCAAAAAAAGATGGTCAACCAGTTAATGATGTTGTTGCACAAGCCTTGGTATGTAATATTGGCAAGAAAGACGTTCACTATTTATCCATTCTTATTTCGCCTATGTTTCATATTTATTTCAAATTATTTTTTGTTGTAGTCAGACATGGATGAACTAGTGTCACAAATGCCAGAGTCTTCTATGCAATCTTCATCGGCAATAGATGAAGTTTTCACTCAAGTCATGGGATCAGAGCAACCTGGACGTGTTAAAACATATGATTTTGGACCATCTCCGAGAGATGTGTTTGGACATAAAAATTCAGAAGTGATGCAAGCAATGTAGTCCCAACTAGATGAGCAATTGAGTAGACATAAGACAGAGATGGAGGCTAAGCAGTTAGAGATGGAGGCTCAACAGGCACAAATGAAGAAGCAAATGAGTCAGATGGAAGCTAAGTTTGAGGCTCAACAAAGATGGTTTGAGGTTTTTCTCATTCAAATGCGTGCAATGGATATGCCTATTCTCGAACCAACTCGCAAAAACACAGATCCACTTCAGGTTGAAAAGATAATAAAAACTTTAGCGACTTATATTTTGAGTTAGAAGAGTTATTGTATTATTTTTCTCCATGAATATTAAGTATTTGCAATCTTAAAAGGTACCTGATGCATTTAGTACTCATAACATAAACTCTCGTCGATCAACGATGAGGAGTGAGTCAAGAAGTCCGACAGTGTGAGACACAGAGTTTCGGGATCATTCTAGAGCATCTTCATTTGGTCAGGTGAGTTAATAAATGGAATAGTATTGATCTTGTAGTAGTTACTTTTGTTTGAATGAGTTTGATGGATTTTTGGTGCCAGAAATCTTATGGCAAATCCTCTTATATGAAGCAAGTTCTAGAAATGAAAAAAATATAGGAAGCATAGAAGAAGCTGAGAATTACTTTTAAGGAAATGGTTTGATAAGGATAGTTGAGAATTACTTTTAAGCATAGAAAAATTTACCACCCTTACTTTTAAGCATAGAATTAGTTCTCGAAGGATGAAATACCCAAGTATTGGCTTTTCATGCATTAATTGAGTTTGTTCAAGTACCTTTTTGAGTGTTTTATGATAAATGACTATAATTCTACCATAGAATTATAGCATTCTTTTTGTACAAATATGCTATTTTACCTGCTGAAATTTGTGAAAATTTTTTGCTTATTTTGAATGTTTTTAAATCCTTGGAATTGATTGGTTCCAGTAGTCAAAACTGGAGAAAATAGGCATTACTTTTAGTTCTGGAAACATGAAATTTAACAGTCCATATGTGTAAGGTTCTGAAGTAACTAATGTTTTGCAAAACCATTGAGTGGCCATGAAGGTTTGTGATGTTCATCACTCCAGCACTCATGATGCTGATCTCTATTTGCACTGACTTCTTTGTGAGGACATACATAAATTTGTGCATCTTGTATATCTCTATATATAGTTTAAATGTACATAGGGTTGACTCAGTGAGTCTCTTTTTGATACCACTTGGAAGGGCCTCACAACTCAATAATAGGTGGAGTACCCCCAAGATCTAATCAGCCCACATGACACTCCCTACCCAAGCAACATTGTGGTTAAACGTAAGTAATGAGATAAACTTTTAGATATTAAATGATCTGGATCATTATACTTTTCTTTTTTCAAGTTGTGATGGATCACCATAGAAATGGCTATAATTCTACCAATTACCTTTTGTAATATTGCAATTTTCAAAACATGCTCTGTTTCATTTTTAAGCTTAGGGCTACTAGACTTAACCTTAGATTCACGTGAGAAAATTTTCCACTAGTGCTTTTCATTTTTATTGTTTTATGTGGAATTCATGTGTTAATTTATATTAAATGCAGGTTCAGCGACAAAAGAGAGCGAAATTCCCGCCCAAGTGACTCTCCCTCTTAAGCCTAAGGTTCAGGATGATGCTGTTGGGAAAGTTCTATTGGATTTTTTGAGAGCGAAAGAGGAGTGCTGTTGCTTTATCCAGTGGGGGAGGTTAAATAGAGAGATTTTTTTTATGGATTGGAGGATGTTGCTAAAAAGTTTGTTTTTGGAGGATGCTGCTGAAGCTTATTTTGGTTTGGAATTTTTTGAATTTTGTTGTTTTCTTGTTTGAATTTTTTGAGCAAACTGTTTTGAAAATTTTGAGCAGACTGTTTATAGGAAAACAAACTGTATGGCAGATTTTTTTGTGTTGATTTATTAAAAAAAAATTATCATTAAATGCCAGAAACTAGTTGCCAAAAATAATAATTACTCGCATTTAAATAAACGCCGTAAAATAGCTCCGATCACCAAAATTTTAAAAGGAAGTCGTTGATTAAATAAACGCCGCTTCAGTGTGTAGGAAACGTCACTTTAATTTTTGTGGTGTTTAATTATACGCCGGTAATTTTTCCAACTAAAGTTTCGACGACATTAATAACAAACGTCAATAATAATATTTTGCAACGTTTATTTACATTTATCAGCGTTTATTAAACGATAAACGCTGGTAAATGTCTTTTTTCTTGCAGTTTGTGTATTAGTAATACTATTTGGATGTATTGGTTTGGAACAGTAATCAAACATGGAGAAACCAATGCATAATTGGTCTGATTTCATTTATTGCTTTGTTAATAAATTATGGTGGGAAACCTGTTAAGAGTAGCTGGAATGGAATGGCCTCAGTGATTCCTATCTTGAGGTACTAAATTCGAGTCCCATAATAGATAGCTTAGTTGACATCGAGTGTATGGTTTGCAGATTATTATATACATCCACAGTTTACCTTGTAATCATGAATTTAATGGACATGTGATTGAGATGATTCTCAGTTATAAAAGAATTTATGCAGTAAAAAGCATAAATCAACTTTTTATGTGATTATATAAGATATTTACCATTGTCACACAGATTTACAAGGTGTACTTAGATTAAGCAAGCTACAAGTTCTGGATTTGAGCTGGGACAGATTTACAGAAATCCCATCCTTGGGTGCACTACGGTCCCTAAAGTTTCTATATCTTCATTCAAATCAGCATATGAAAAATTCATCTCATTTTCAAGGTACATCTCAACTCCATGAAAGCATTTTCTGCCATCTACTTGTGTTTTAGGTTTGTGCCAACACTGTACTCATAGTCCTGTGTAAAATCAGAGATAACTACTTTGAGGAATTTGGAGAGCTTGTACCTTGGTTATTGATGATGCACAAATCGATATTGCGCAAAATTAACAGTCGAGATTATAGAAGGGTTCAATTAATGAGCAATAAGCAGGCAATCAGTGGCAAAACAATGAGTAATAGCAAATACACAGATTTATAGTGATTCAGTTCAGATGACTTACTTCACTCTCGGGAACGGTAGCGATGGCCGGAGTTTTTTATTGATGAATAAAGTTACCGGGATAATATGCTCCGGGAGTATTACAATGCTTTGAGAGAGAGCAATGTGTGTAGAGAGATGTGTGAGGTCTTAAGGGCATACTCTCCATGTGGAGGGGGCTTATATTATATAGGTTTAGTGAGACGGTGAAGCGGTCACTACTTTTTAGTAAATACAATTGTGGTAGGACTAAATCTCCGTAATGCGATTCCCAATATTCTCTCTCTCATACTCCTATTCCGTTGAAAGAGGATATAGAGGTGGGTTGGACTTGAGTTGGAGTGAGCTGGGTTGGACTTGAGTCGGAATGACAAAGTGGGAAGGGATACCATAGAGGCGGTGCGGAGGAGAGGGAGCGTGGAACAAAAGAGAGCAGAGGTTCCCTTGGGGTGGCCCCCATGGGCGGCGCCCCTTGGGGTTTCTTTCGGGCGTTGATGTCTTGGTCTCCCTTTAGGCCTAGCCCGATTGATTTGGACTCATTATTTTATTGGGCCTGGCCAGTTAATTTTGGATTCATCAGTTATAATGATTTGGCTGGTGAGATTCCTCTCTCCATTGGTGCTCTGACCTCTCTCAAGGCCTTTTCACTCACCAGTAATAAACTAAATGGCTCCATACCAGTAGAAGGTATGTAAAATAGACTCACTGCGGATTCCCATTTTAGAATATATTAACATGTTAAAAATGTAATTTTTAAAGTAGAAAAAAAAAAAGCAGCTTAAATTTAAAAACAATTTATTTGGTTTTTGGAGAATTCTTGTCGTACATCCAGGTCCTTCAATAAAGTTCTCTTGATTATATTTGCTAAATTTTAGTTCACATTTCATATTTGTGCATTGTCAATAGTAAGCGATGGTTATGGAATTCGGGCCTCAATGCCCACTCCTTAGAAGTTCCACCACAAAATATGACAAAGAGCAGAGCATCTGGTCATGGGATGTGTCCCATTGAGAATTTTGAAGCTATCCAACAATAGTTTGCACGCCAATTACTTCCAGAAAAATCTAATCTCACAAGACTCTTTTATCTATTTGTGGACAACAATCAGTTCTCAGGAGAGATCTCAGGTGGACTTCTGAACAGCCCCTACCTATAATTGTTGGATTCAAGCAGTAACTTACTCTCAGGCAAAATTCCTGATTGGATTGGAAACTTCCGTTTTTTATCTTCCATTGTCCTGTCCAAAAATTCTTTGGAAGGATCTATACCACTGAGCTTCTGCAAACTTAAACGACTACTCTTCTTAGACCTTTCTTCAAACAACATTATTGATAGCATGCCTTCCTGTGTAAATCTATCATCATTGAGATATCTACATTTGCATGGCAATGAATTAACCGGACCCTTACCAAACGTTTTATCTACAGCTTCCTCCCTTGTGACATTAGATTTGAGGGATAACAAATTTTCAGGAAGAATTCCAAGTTGGATCAGCTTACTCTCAAATTTGAGAGTTCTTCTCTTGAAGGTTCTATACCTTCTGAACTATGTCAGCTTATTAGACTCAGCATAGTAGGTCTTTCTCACAACAATGTTTCTGGATCAATACCCTACTGCTTGCCTAGTATACCATTTGGGATGAAAATAAATTTTGATGACGCATTTGGTACCCATCAATACAGGAGGATGACATATAGATCCAACACTAAGGTATTCATATCGAAGTCAGCTCGGGGTTGGCCGAAATATAGTTGATGACTATATCACATCAGATGAGGTAGAAGAAGTGGAGTTTATAACAAAGAGCAGGGCTGAATCATACAGAGGAAACATTTTGTACTTCATGTCGGGGATCGATCTGTCCTGGAATAAATTGACAGGTCCAATTCCACCTGAAATTGGATACCCGAGTGGTATTCATACTCTAAACCTGTCATTCAACTGTTTAACCGGATCAATCCCGGAAATATTTTCACTCCTGAAACAAGAACAAAGCCTGGACCTATCCCACAACAGATTGAGTGGCCAAATTCCCTCACAGGTGGTAGAGTTGAACTTTTTATCAGTCTTCACTGTAGCTTACAACAACTTATCAGGTAGGACACCAGACAGGAAGGCACAGTTTGCAACATTTGAAGAAATCAGCTATGAGGGCAACCCCTATTCTTGTGGACTGCCACTGCAGAGAAGTTGCACCACCAGCAGAGTATCGCCATCAGCGCCACCACCTTCAAGATCAGTACACTTATTGGAAGCTGAATTTTGGTGGGCTTTTGGGGAATCATATGTTTTGGCATTGTTAGGCTTTATAGCTTTTCTCTACGTCAGTCCATACCATCGAAGACTGCTGTTTGGATTCGTCGAAGCATGTGTAGTATCTTGTCGCTGATTGGTTGATTATTTTCTGCCATTTTGTATGTACAAATCAATGTCAATAAGAATCAAGTTGATAGAAAAAGAACTGAAAGGTATGCAGATGAAGCTAATATCTTCTGCTTTGGTGTCCCTCTTGTAATTACAAGAAGTGCTGAACTAGTGTGATTTCCACTTATCAAAATTTTATTTTGATGTATTGAATTGTTTACCTAAGAAGCGGAATATAATGAAAATTAAAAAAAATTAAAAATTTATTTTAAAATATTTTGATTTATTGGTCAAAACATCTCGAAGCACCGTAAAACATAAGAATTTGATTATCAGTCATTGATTCGTTTTGATTTCTATGCAAATGGATGCATTTCGACCGTCTTGGAATAAAGTTTCAATACTCCTATCATTCCTCAAATACATGTGGTTTGGAAGCCTTCAATGACCAAGGTAAGACTATAGCACCGTCATCATCTTTATCACCTTTGCATTTTAATAATGGATTAATTCCTTCATATACTAGTTGGGCGTAGGATTTGCTATGAGTCATGCCAGTCTTTAGGCCATGTCATTACAAATTTGGGAGATCTCTATCGATCTCAGGAGATTTGAACCAACGCTAGGACAAAATTAGTTGATAAAATCAAGAAACATGGTAATTTTGAAAAAAAAACCCATTGTCGCCCCTATTTTTGTAATTTGTCAATTTGATGAAGACGTAAACGTTAAAAAACATACTTTTTATAGTTTATAAATTTTTTAATCATAATTTAGGGAAAAAAAAAGTGAAAAATTATGAGGGTAGATGAAATTAGGAAATGGGGTGGTTAGGGGTTCAAACAAATTCCCCTTCAACCCTATTGGTCAACTAGATAGAGACATGAACCTTAAAAAAATGTTATTTGTAGTTTATAAAATTCTTAACTATATAATTTAGTAAGTAAGTTTAAAGCTAACACGTTGTAAATGTAATTAAAAAATGTGGCAGGTAAGAAAAAACAAAAAACTTCCCTTCGTCCACAATCCAGTTCCTCATTGGTCAACTTGCAGTTTGCAAAATTTCTAACAGTGAGGCTAGCAGCGACATGTATTTGACCAGGAACAACTTTGATCAACTTTGAAGGGAAGAGGTGATGAGCTTGGTGAGGTGTCCGATAACTTTGATCAATGAACAAGTCCCAAATCGCATGGGTAGAGAGAGTTGTTGCGTGATATACCTAAAAGTCGTGTACGATTGGGTTTGGGTCATTACACACGAGTACAAATGCATCAAATTGATTTTTAATATTCTTAATAAATTTTGTCATGGTGCCAATTTTATTTTTTTTTAGACTTAGGATAACCTTACCCAACTAACAAATATCTATATAATTAATATTTATATAATAAAGTATAAAAATTAGAGATATCAAAAATGATTTTTATTTTTTTTTGATTGAGATCGTTTTAAATTTTACTTTAAAATTAATCCGACAATTAATATTAACTCTCTAAATTTAATAAAAAAAATAAAGTCTCTAAATAAAAGAGCTTACTTAAAAATATCCATCATTATCTCATTTTTATATTTATTATCATTACTATCAATATTTCACTACCACCATTGTCTACCGCCACCACCCACAACTGTCATTACTCACTAGTCACCATTTTCGCAATTCACTGTCATTCACCTCCACTACATTTTCCTCCATCGTTGCCGCCCTTGCCATCTCCATATTCGTCACATATGACTATTATTTTTGTCCCCAAAAATCCACTAACACCACCATCACCATTTCCACTACTCATTATTTATTATAATCAGTGTTTAAATTATTTTCTCTCTCTTGTATACTTGTGATTTGATTTTAAATGTAAATACAAATATATTTATAATTGATAATTTTTTATTATTCTGTGGCTTTATACACGAATAATAATTAATTATTTTATAAAATTAAACTTATCTATTATACCGTCATGATGGTTTGGCTCGTTTTGACCATTCATTCATCCGTGTCAACGTTAAAGAGGAAAAAATATGCTATTGGAACCTAATTTATTGATGAGTAATGCTACATGGACTTAAAAAGTAGACTTAAAAATTAGACTTGATAATTTCAACCATTAAATAGGTAGTGGATCTCAATAAATGTTGGGATCCACAGTGAAATCAATTGTTGAGATTATCAAGTCTAGTTTTTAAGTTTACTTTTTAAGTCTATATAGCATTACTCTTTATTGATTGACCTAATTTACTATGACATTTGAATTAACTGTAGAACCTATCAAATACTGAAACTTTGTGTTGATTCAATGATTTTATTGAAGTTATATCATTATATCAATAAATTAAGTCAAATTTTTATATCCAAACAATATTACTCCTGGGAATGTTCCAACCAAAAAAGGAAAAGAGTAAAAATAGGGCCCATTGGTGAGGCACTTGTTGAAATTGGATGAAATTATAAACGTGATAGGACTGTTACAACTTATAAATGAGAAACTAAGGCTGCTATCTAAGCCTTCACTTTTGGCCATGGAGTATACGTTATTGTTGTATTTGTTGATACTCTTGGGTTCTCTGCAGCTTCACTTTCAGAGCCATGGAAGTTCAGCTTGCTTGGAAGAAGAGAGGATTGGGCTTCTGAAACTGAAAGATTCCTTTATTCAAGCAAATGGGTCTGCTCTTTCTTCATGGGGTGTTGAAGATGGAGATTGTTGCAGGTGGGTAAGGGTCAGCTGTGATAATATCACAAAGCAAGTGGTAGAACTCTCCCTCAATCGTACAAGACCACTGGGTTTGGGTTTCACAGAAGGTTGGATCCTCAACGCCTCCCTGTTTCTTCCCTTCCAAGAACTACAGAGTCTAGACTTGTCAGGAAACCTCTTGAAAGGTCTCTCTCTCTCTCTCTCTGCCACATTTTTACAGCAATTTGATATGCACCGATTATTTGAGCCACATAAATGTCTGAAGTGTTGTCTCTTCCCTTTCTGAGCAAGCGCTAAGGATGAGAATTAGACAATGGCATGAAACAATTTTAGTTAAAAGTTTTGTCGAAAGGGGATAGGCACATAAAAGTTTTTAGAGAAACCCACTAACCATGGAAATCCAACGTTCAAGAGGTTTTCTCACATCAAGTCTTGAGATGTTACTCTTGTGCACTTTTGTGGCCAGAAGATGATATGCTTTCAAGGCTTGGCACCAAAAGTCTAAAGGCATGCCTGCATCATTTGATGACTTGTCGAGAGAAAGTCAAGAAGCCAAGGTGCACCGGTGTGTTGTGTTCTCACACCTTTTGTTCACAATAAAATGAGACCCTCAGGTAGTGTTTAGAGCAACTCTATCCCAACTTTCCATTTTAACTACTCAAAATATATTTAAATAATACATTTTTTATTTTGGAGAGTCACTTTTACAAGTTTATTTTAACCACGCTTTCTATTTTAACTAACTACTTTACCTAACTTTCACTAACTTTCAATAATTTAAACAAGATTGTAACATTTATATAGAGAGATAGAGAGACAAAGAGGTAGAGAGAGAATTTTAAGATGCTGAATGGCTCTCCACATTTGGAGAGTCATTTGGGTGAAATGGAAAATAGAGAGTGAGATAGAAAGTGGGTTGGAGAGTTTTTTTAGTGTTTGGCTAGTTAAAATCGCTAAAAAAGAGGAAATAGAGTGGGTTGGAGTTACTCTAAAGGCATTGAAAACTTGAGTGGTTTCAAGCATCAGAGCTTGAAGTGTTTAAGCATTAGAGGTTTTTTTTTTTTTAAGTGATATTACGGTATCAATATGAGTGTTATTGGATATGTGAGAGATACTAGTGAGATATCAGAAGTACTTGTAAAGTTTAAAACAAGTGTCTTGTACTCCTGTTTTTATCCCATAGTGAAAAACATCTGATATTTGTTGCCGTGAACGTAGGTTATTAGCCAAACCACGTAAATTGTTTTATCTTGTGTGATTTTTTTTTAATTTTTCCACTTGAGTGTGTGCGTCAATATCCATCCCAATTTGATTCCTAGGTAATTTCTGCAACAACTCCCATTAACACCACACCAGTAACACCTTAATGTGGTGGAATGGAATGGTGATAACATTCCATGCTCTGGGATTTTCTTTGGTAATCTATGTCTTCTAAATTTGGATGTCAACCCATATGGGTTGGTTCAAAATAATGGACGAGATACATATCTATTAGTCCAGAGTTCCCATGATCAGATAAAATCCATGTTTAATCAATGTGCGTAGTTTGTGAGGATTGTTGTCTCATAGGTGTAGTCGTATCATTAAGTCTAAAAAACGCATGATTAAAATCATTTTCATTACCCAAAGAAAATTATAGATGTCGACAAAAGTCAGATTATTGTCCTCTGTTTTGCACAAAGTTCTAAGAAAGAAGGCTTGTTGGGTGAACTCTAGCTGAAAGAGGTAAGGCTGCAGAGGAATGGAAGCTCAAAGGGCAAAGGTTTGCCCAGAGACAAAGTGGGTATGGGCTGCTGGAGTATTTGTGTATTGGTTTGGAACAGTAATCAAACATGGAGAAACCAATGCATAAATGGTCTGATTTCATTTATTTCTTTGTTAATAAATTATGGTGGGAAACCTGTTAGAGTAGCTCGAATGGAATGGCCTCAGTGATTCCTATCTTGAGGTACTAAATTTGAGTCCCATAATAGATAGTTTAGTTGACATCGTGTGTATGGTTTGCAGATTATTACATACATCCCGAGTTTACCTTGTAGTCATGAATTTACTGGACACGTGGTTGAGATGATTATTGGTTATAAAAAAAATTATGCAGGAAAAAGCATATATTATCTTTTTATGTGATTATATAGGATATTTACCATTGTCACACAGATTTCCAAGGTGTACTTAGATTAAGCAAGCTACAAGTTCTGGATTTGAGCTGGAACAGATTTACAGAAATCCCATCCTTGGGTGCACTGCGGTCCTTAAAGTTTCTATACCTTCATTCAAATCAGCATATGAAAAATTCTTCTCATTTTCAAGGTACATCTCAACTCCATGAAAGCATTTTCTGCCATCTACTTGTGTTTTAGGTTTGTGCCAACACTGTACTCATTGTCCTGTGTAAAATCAGAGATAACTACTTTGAGGAATTTGGAGAGCTTGCACCTTGGTTATAATGATATGGCTGGTGAGATTCCTCCCTCCATTGGTGCTCTGACCTCTCTCAAGGCCTTGTCACTCACCAGCAATAAACTAAATGGCTCCTTACCTGTAGAAGGTATGTAAAATAGACTCACTGTGGATTCCCATTTTAGAATATATTACCATGTTAAAAATGTAATTTTGAAAGTGGAAAAAAAAACAGCTTAAATTTAAAAATCAATTTATTGGTTTTTGAAGAATTCTTGTAGTACATCCAAGTCCTTCAATAAAGTTCTCTTGATTATATTTGCCAAATTTTAGTTCTCATTTCATATTTGTGCATTATTAATAGTAAGTGATGGTTATGGAATTTGGGCCTTGACGCCCACTCTTTAGAAGTTCCACGATAGAAAACATTCATACAAAAGAGGAATTTATACATTTGACTACTTTGGCCAACTTTTCTTCTCAAGTCTCTCTTACCAACTAAGATAGCGGAATCATAACCATTAGATGTCAGTGGGACCCAATACGACCTACTAATCCAAAGGACTGTAGGAGTTGGTAAGGGAAAGTTAGTAAAAAAACAGTTGTTGGTCAGTTTAAATTTTCATGTATATATCTACCCCCTTCCTTGCATCCCAATCTCGCAAAATCAAGAATATGTATCTCCCTATCATTTTTTGTACTAGCAGTTAAAATCTCACATTTGCTTCTTTTTCTTTTCCCCTTTCCATGAATGGTCTGGTGCATGGGTATTATTATCATTTCACTGGGATCTTTCCTCAGACTAGACTCTTTGATATACCTGATCAAAGTTATCCCCACCTCATGTTGCTTCATACATTTTTTTCCCATAGGTTTTTAGGAAAAAAAAAAACTCATTTGGCCATCATCATGGTCACTCAATGGTGCATAAGCAAAGATATGGGTTCTTAGTGAGGTTTTTAGTGAAGCATTAGTTCATAATTCCGAATTGTATTGCTAATTGCTTTGCTGTTATTGTTCCTGACTTTCAATATTCACTCTTGCAGGCTTTTGCAAATTGAGGTGTCTGCAAGAGTTGGATCTGAGCATAAACAATTTCGAAGGGAATCTTCCGTCATGTCTCAGCAATTTGACCTCTCTTCGACTTCTTAAACTTTCTGAGAATAGCTTCGGAGGAACCATTCCTCCCACTCTCTTTCCCAGTCTCAAGTCACTTGAATACGTTTCCCTTTCTTACAACCATTTTGAAGGTTCACTCTCATTCAGTTCATTTGCTAACCATTCCAAACTTGAGGTCTTTGAACTCGACAGCCATAACAACAATTTGAAGGTAGAGACAGAAAATCCAGCTTGGAAACCTCTATTTCAGCTGAAAATCTTTCGATTATCCAACTGTAAACTCAACGAGCCAACTGGGGCTTTACCCAGCTTTCTTTTACATCAATATGACTTGACAGCAGTGAACCTTAGCCACAATAGCATTATAGGGAAGCTTCCAATCTGGTTACTCATTAATAATACAAGACTAAAATTCCTTAGTCTTGCAAATAACATCTTGACGGGTACTCTCATGTTGGATTCTAACTCAAAAAATCTTGAAATGTTTTGGATTGATGTCTCTATGAATCATATCCAGGGCGAGCTTCCATCTTTTATAGGTTCTTCCCTCCCAAATCTGCTCCTTTTGAACATGTCTAACAATGCTTTGCAAGGTAGGATTCCCCCCTCCTTCGGAGATATGGGAAGGTTAGATTTGTTGGACTTGTCGAATAATAATTTCTCCGGGCAACTACCAGAGCATTTGGTCATGGGCTGTGTCTCATTGAGAATTTTGAAGCTATCCAACAATAATTTGCATGGCCAATTACTTCCAAAAAGATCTAATCTCACAAGACTATTTTATCTATTTTTGGGCAACAATCACTTCTCAGGAGAAATCTCGGGTGGACTTCTGAACAGCTCCTACCTGCAATTGTTGGATTCAAGCAGTAACTTACTCTCAGGCAAAATTCCTGATTGGATTGGAAACTTTAAGTTTTTATCTTCTATTATTCTGTCCAAAAATTCATTGGAGGGCTCTATACCAATGAGCTTCTGCAAACTTAAACGACTACGCTTCTTGGATCTTTCTTCGAACAACTTCATTCATAGCATGCCTTCCTGTGTAAATCTGTCATCTCTGAGATATCTACATTTGCAAGGCAACACATTAACTGGACACTTACCAAATGTTCTATCTACGGCTTCCTCCCTGGTGACATTAGATTTGAGGGATAACAAATTTTCAGGAAGAATTCCAAGTTGGATCAGCTTACTCTCAAATTTGAGAGTTCTTCTTTTGAAAGGAAATGATCTTGAAGGTTCTATACCTTTTGAACTATGTCAGCTTATTATTCTCAGCATAGTAGATCTTTCTCACAACAATCTTTCTGGGTCAATACCCTACTGCTTGCCTAGCATACCATTTGGGATGAAAATAAATTTTGATGACACATTTCGTACTGGTCAATACGGGAGGGTGTCATATGAATCCTACACAAGGTATTCATATCGAAGTCAGCTCGAGGTGGGCCAATATATTGTTGATGGCTATTCCACATCAGATGAGGTAGAAGAAGTGGAGTTTATAACAAAGAGCAGGGCTGAATCATACAGAGGAAACATTTTGTACTTCATGTCGGGGATCGATCTCTCCTGGAATAAATTGACTGGTCCAATTCCACCTGAAATTGGACACCTGAGTGGCATTCATACTCTGAACCTGTCACACAACTGTTTAAATGGATCAATTCCGGAAACATTTTCACTTCTGAAACAAGTACAGAGCCTGGACCTATCCCACAACAGATTGAGTGGCCAAATTCCCTCACAGTTGGTAGAGTTGAACTTTTTATCAGTCTTCACTGTGGCTTGCAACAATTTATCAGGTAGGACACCAGACATGAAAGCACAGTTTGCTACATTTGAAGAAAGCAGCTATGAGGGCAACCCTATTCTTTGTGGACTGCCACTGCAGAGAAGTTGCACCACCAGCAGAATATCGCCATCAGCACCACCACCTTCAAGATCAGTACACTCTGACTTTTTGCAAGCTGAATTTTGGTGGGGTTTTGGGCAATCATATGTTTTGGCATTGTTAGGCTATATAGCTTTTCTCTACTTGAGTCCATACCATCAAAGACTGCTGTTTGGATTCGTCGAAGCACGAGTAGTATCTTATCGCTGATTGATTGATTATTTTCTGCCATTTTGTATCAATGTCAATAAGAATCAAGTTGATTGAAAAAGAATTGAAAGCTACGCAGATGAAGCTAATATCTTCCTCTTTTGTGTTGCTCTTGTAATTACAAGTTGTGTGACTCCCAATGATCAAAATTTTCGTTTCGGTGTATTGTACTCATAGTAGATTAATTCCTTCATACCAGTCTGCTGTAAGATTGACAATGAGCCTTGTCAGTCTCTAGGTGATGTCATTACAAAATAGGCTCACCTTGTATATAGACCATTTATAGACATATATAATCATATTCATGTTTTATTGGGTTGTATTGTGTATCAATAATGTATAATCATGTTCATACCAACCAAATTATTAAGCAAAAAAGATAGAGCAATGTTGTTATCACTTGAATTTTCGGACCTTATTAACGTTGGGAATAAGGTATTCGTGAAGAATAAATTTTTCATGGCCTAACTGTAAACTGTAAAAGTTTGTTAAAATTTGAACTCAAGACGTCAGACTAGGACTCTTTTGCTAGTGAACGAGAGGCTTTATTAGCATCCTCTATGCATGGATCATACTCCATTCTAGTTGTACACTCAATGGGTACTTGATGTCCTTTATGATTGTTATGATAAGCTAATAGATTTTGAAGTGAGGAAGTGATATAACTCCAGTTCCTTGGGACTATTTGTGCTTATTTTTCTTTTTTGAAGATTTGAAGAAGAGTAACATTCAATTATAAATGGCTGAGTAGCATGGACCTATGGAAGTCGAGGCTCACCCCAAGTCAATATTGGATCAAACAATAGGGGTCATAACATTGACCTCTTTTTTTATTGATTCAATACAATATAGGAAAATATTGTAATATTTCGTATCAAGACAAACTCCCAACAGATCCTCTGATACTTTTCTAGCTACCAAAGCTTCTACAAATAGAGGTTCAACTTCTTGGTCTAGTTGTGTATATGCCTCTAACACATTACTCTGCATCTCTAACTATTGCTGGAAGGCATGATCCTTCTTGCCTGATAACTGCATCCATATTAAACTTAATTGTTCCTTCATGAGGTTTGGTCCATGAGTTTTGTTTGTTTTGTGGAGTGCACTGGGAGGTACTAGTTTTCAGCATCTGTTGTCTGGTTTGGCATTTGAGTAGGACACCTTGTTTCTCCAATTCCAGATGGTGGGTATTAGTGTTGCAGCAACTAGAGGGAGTTGGGTGTGATGTGAACTGCAAGGCCCGAAAGGTCAGTGTGGGATTTAGGATGTTGTGCAGCCAGTCTTGCATCGAGTAATGTGAGAAAACGCTAGACCTTGTCTTTTAATAATGGGACTATTTGGAGTTGATTTTTTTGGGTGCGAAACAAGTTTAAAAAGTGAATGAAAAAGTTATAGTTAACAAAGTTCTTGGAACCGTTTGAAGTGTTTTCAAAAAAACTAAGGGCTTGTTTGGTTTACGTTTCAAAAAATAGTATCTGAAAATAGTTTTTGAGAAAAGTTTTAAGTGGTTTTGATATTTTTTGAGATAAAAAACTTGTTTGGTTAGATGATTTTAAAAATAATTTTACAATACAGAAAATATTAAAACTTAAGCCTAAATATATATTTGAACAATAATTCAAATATTAATAAAAAAATATAAAAAAATTATTTTTATATTGACAATTTCATTATATATATATTCTCATATCTGAACATCCAAAATTGTTCTCCTTATTTTCAAAATTTTCAAAGAAAACTCTGAAAACAAGTTACACTTATTTTCTGTTTTTTTGATTCAAATCTCATTTTTATTTCCAAAATTTAGAGAACAAAAATGTTAAACAAACAAGTTTTTGGTATTTTTAAAATTTTGAGAACAAAATATTATTTCCGGATCACAAACCAAACATGACCTGACTTTTCCTTGGAAGTCCTTGAATAAGTCTTAGTTTTTAGTTTTTCCTTAGTGTAAAAAAAAGTTACCTTTGCCCAAAAAAAATTGATTAAAAAGTCGCTTAATATCTTGGGTCCAAACGAACCAGACTTCTTTTCCTTTGAAAAAAAGAAAAAAACCTAAGGACTTGTTTAATTTGGATATTAAAAAACAGTATTTAAAAATTATTTTTGAAAAAAATTTTAAAATTTTTTAGATTACAAAACTTGTTTGTTTATATATTTTTGACAATAATTTTAAAAAACAAAAATTATAAATTTTGTTTGAATAATAATTCACAATTCCACGTCTCTTCAATTCTTTCTCTCTCTCTCTCTCTCTCTTTCGCTGTGTATCACCCACCACCCACAATCGAGAACTACCGTCAACCCAACACCCACAACTACCACCAACTCAACAACCACCATCAACCCAACACCCACAACTACCATCAACCCCCGTTGAGAACCACCCAACACCCACCACCAAGACCGAGTTAAATCTGTGCACAGATTTGTGTTCTAGCAGCTGTTGGAGCTCCGTTGGATAACTGGTGCCTTCGTTGGTGGACCCATGTGTTGATTCAACGAATTGAGGATAGGGGCTTTGTTGGATTTGGGGATGGGGCTTCACTGGGTTTTGGGTTTTCAGAGCAATGGAGGTGGGTTCACTGGTGGTGGTACCAGTGGCGGTGGCGCTTCACTAGTGGAGACTGCGATTAGGGTTAGGGATTTGGGAGTTGGGCGTATGGGAGTCACAGACTCACAGTAGATAACAGAACGGGGAAGCACCTTCGTTGCAGACACAGAGAGAGAGAGGAGACGAGACGTGCTTCGGTGCTCTAGATTTGGTCAGATCTGAAGAAGAAGAGAGAGAGACAGAGAGGAGATGGAGACGAAGACGTTGGAGAAGAAGACGTATGGAGCAAGAGAGGAAGAAGAAAAAAAAAAAAAAAAAAGAGCAAAGACTTTTGCTGCCGAGGGACAGACCTCGTTAAAACTCAAAATTATTTTTTTTGTTTTCAAAATTTTCAAACAATTCTGAAAAGAAGCTATTATTGTTTTATGTGTTCTTTGCTCTAAATCTCATTTTTTTTTTTTAATTTAAAGAACAAAAAAATAAAACAAACAAGTTTTAAATATTTTTGAAATTTTGAGAACAAAAAATAATTTTCGGAATGCAAACCAACCAGGTTTTCAGCTGGATCCAAACATGCCCAATATCAAATTTGCTATGTTATAAACAACTATCTCTAATATTGTCTGTTAATTTGATTTTTTAAAAAATAAAAATCTATTGTAATTACTTATGCTACATAACCTTTTGTTGATAAGTGATATTTTTCCAAATTAAACTCCTATCACAAATATTTACAAAGAAAAATCACTTCAGTTGTATAAAATGAAAAAAGGCAAGGGAATTTTTTCTTTTTTTTTTTTATATTTTGTATGGTTCACACAATAAAAGAGAAAGGTAAAGGGGAACAATGCAAAATTTTGAGTTTCTTTTATTCGACCTCTTCCTTCATTGTTGTATTGATATTCAAACATTATAGAATTATTTCTCCCTCTTCATTTTACCTTTTTTTTTTAGATTCTCTCACCAATTTTCTCCCACATTTTTTTTTTGTATAAACAATGCTAAACTAGAAAAGGAATTAAAAAAATATGCTAAAAAAAAGAGTTAAAAATGACGATAATGATAGCTTAAAAGCTCGCAAATTCAACCCATTTTAATATCTAATCTATTTCTTGCCTACCTATAATTGCTCAAACCCTCGTTCAACCCCACCACACACCTTCTCTAATAGCGGATGTTGAAAATTGCATTAGTTGATACAATCTTAAAAAAAATAAATGATGATCAATTAAATTAGGCCTAATTAATATACACTCTATTTTTGTTGATGACATCTATATAATAAAATAAGAGTGTGTTTAAATTTTATTTCAATCATATTTTTTTCCTCAAAATTATCACCAATCACTTACATTACCCATCATCCCTTTGTCAAACTCAAAAGTTAAATCGCATCACTTATTTCTATCATATGTTTAATTATTTAAATATTTATTCTCTAAAAATATCACATCACTCATTTCTATCATATATTTAATCATTTAATATTTAATTAATTTGTAGTTGATATATTTTGAAAAAAATTAATATAATAGGATCGATTTTTTAGATGCTTAAATTTTATATTTTATCGTACCTTCAGACACGAATTATAACTAATAAAACCATATGCTAGGACTTCAAACACACATTTATCTCATAAGCCGGGGGGGCCTAAAACAAGGCTCTGGGCCTCTAGTCATTGCCCGACCTCAACAACTATGTGTGAAGTTATTGAATCTAAGTTGTTACACTTTAGTATTTAAGCTTAGTGTTTTTGTGATTGACTACCAAACTTAAATTTTACTTGAGCTAGAATAGACAAAATGTTCATGATCATTGGAGCTCAATTTATTAGAAAAGTATTTAATAATAAAACCCTATGACTTTTATTCTCCGTTTGGTACGATAAAAAAGTGGGAAGATAGAAAGTTGGAGGGATAAATAAAACATCATATTTGGTAAGAAAGGAAAGTAGGAAGGATGAAAAAGTGGATGAATTAACTTTTCTTCCAACTTATCAAAATCAATCCCTCCAAAATCGGAAGGAAAGTGGATGAAAAATTAATTATTTGTGTTGAGATGTATCTTATTTGTCTATATATCGTATGTATACATTAATTTCGTATAAAAATACAATTGTAAAATATGTATATATATTTTAAAAAAATTTAAAAATAAAATTACAAAAAATTTAAATTAAAAAAAAAAATTCATCTTAACAAATGGTGAAAATTTTCGACTCAATACGATGACATGACTCGAACTTGACACGAAAATAAACAGGTCAACTCGTAACTCAACACAACACAATTAGTTAAATGAGTTAAGTTATGTTTGACTAATATTCTACACAAAACCATAATGATTCAACACGAATCTGACATGACACGACACGACTCGACTCAATTGTCACTTCTAATCTTAGCCAGCACAAAAAAAAATTATTATTTTTATTTTTTATTCATCCAACCAAACACAAAGGAAGGAAAATGTATCATTTCTATTTTTCATCCTCCCTACCAAACGGAGCATTAGTAATACTCATTAATTTATTTATTTATTAACAAAAAATCTCCAACATCTCTATAATCAAGTATAAATCACATGTTAGAAGCAAATTTTCAAAAATCTCTAAAGAAAAGATGGATAGAGAAGTTATGATTTGGAGCTTTTTGGAAATAAATTTGATTTTATTATTTTTTTGTATCAAATAAAATAATTTGAATGAACTTGAATGAAGTAAAAATAAGTGAAAATTGGAGCTGAATTTTCTTAGATGGACTTATAATAATTTAAGTTTGTCAATAAAATATATTTGAGGGTAAGTCCGTTTTTAATCTTATTAGTAAGGAGTAAAGTCCATTTTTTTTTAATTTCAAAAATACCCTTAACAGGGATAGTTTGGTCAATTATGGAAAGTTGAAAACATTATTTACAAAGAGCTATATATGGAGGTCAATGATTGAATATAGAAATGTTTGATTTACGATGGTAATTGTCGATTACAAGCTTTTCATAATACTTCAAATTCAAATTTTTAGTTATAATTTTGTCTATTATATATTTAAATAATTGACTTTTGAAATTTGAGGCTAATTTGAAAGGGATGAATGATGAAACTGGAGTACGAGCTCGAGCTTTTAAAAAAGTGACATGGATAATGTACGTCAAGTACTTGATGTTAGTATAGTAATATCAGTTCAATAATATCAATTTCAAAACGTAATTTATTAATACATATCAATATTTTTTTTTTCATGTTATTATTTTTTATTGAATATGTTATTACTTTTTTAGTATGATTTTTTTGGATGCTGAAGAATTAAAGGCTTTTTCCTTACTATTTTTATTTTCAATTTTGTTCAATGTTCCACATTACTATTTTTTTGTTGAACTTGTTACTATTTTTATTGAATATGATAGTATTGTTATTTTTTTAAAATATTAATATTAAATATTACTATTTTTTTAGTTATTATTATTTTTTGTTTAAATATTATTTTTTTTTTTATGTTTAAATGTTACTATTTTTTTTTTGTATTTGAATGTTACTATTTTTATTTTTAATGTTACTATATATATATGTGAGAGAGATATATATAATCCTAACCTATATATGAATATAGATAGATATGAGAAATTTGTTTTTTTAATATTAGTCAAACTATTAAAATTTATGAATTTTTAATTTTTAATTTGACTTCACCTCTAAAGGGAATGAATAGTTTGATAAAATTGACAAAAAACGTACTTCATAATAAATAAGTTTTCTTTGAGGATTTAAGTTCAAATAAATCTATATATAGGAGGACTAACCTCTAATTTTTTCTAAAAATAGAATAGAGTTGGGCTCAAATTGAATTGGAATTGTTCGGATGGACAATATTGGTTTTGGACAAGGGTCGGTCCACCATTAGAGCCGACCCATTTTGGTAAAGCTGATTTGACCCATTTATTGCCTTACCAAAAATTGCTCAAGCCCTCACTCAACCCCACCACCCCCCTTCTCTGCAAGCGAAGCTGAAAACTACGCCGATCATTGAAAAAGCAAGCTGAAGACTCCACAACTGCAGACGGAGAGAGAGAGAGAGAGAGAGAGAGAGAGGTATCAAAGTTGAATCAATGGCAGAAAAAGTTGGAGTAGAAGGAGACAGAGATGTGAAAGTACCAAACCTCAATCCATCATCAATTACTTCAGGCGAACAGACCGTTTGGGCCGATGTTTCGCCTCTCCTCGAATCCGCATGCAAAGGTCTAATATGTTTTCGTCTTCCCTTAATTTAAGCTCCGTTTGTTTCCGAGAAAGATTCAGAAAAGTATAGAAAAGAAGTGAAACATTATGATTTTTAATCTCGGAGTTGTTAATTATTACAAGTACAGAAAATCTGCAATGTTGAAATAGCTAAAAACCCTGTTGCAAGCTATATTAGTTGCTTGTTTGTACGTTTCTTGTCCTTGCTTGGCAACCAAACATGAAAATTAATTACTATTAATTTTGTTGATTGTAGTGAGTTTGCATTGGTAATTGAAGTTTTAGGTGACACGATTCTTCAGCTTACTTGCCACATTGTGTAGAATATGCTTATTTGCTTTGGGTTCTTCATTCTCTGGTAAATGAAAATTATTTTTTTTGTTCCACAAGGACATATCGATTAATAAAAAGTGAAATTGCACTAAAATGAATGTGTAGTCCATTGCCGATGTTTGTTAACACCAAGTCCCCAACTTATTGAAGTTACTGGTGGTATTCTTTTAGAGAAGAGAATTAATATATGATTTTTGTTATGCTGGTTTGTAGCAGTTTTGTGTAGAATTGTTGATTTTTTGTGTTTATTACATAAGTAATGTGAGGGATATACGACATGGGCTAACCTCATAATTGTAACGACCAATTGTTAAACTTAGAGGGCTAGGGAGTAAGGAGTAGTTTCTTTAGTGGGGTTTGGTTTTCTTGAAGTTTTTTGGGTTAATCTCATTTTGCACTCCGAAAGATTGTTCGAATCTCAATTTGCACCCTCAAAGATTAAAAATTCAATTTACACCCTCAAAGATAGAAATTTGTATCAATGTGCACCCTCAAAGATCAAAAATCTCAATTTGCACCCTCAAAGATAAAAATTTATATCAATGTGCACCCCAAAAATAAAAAA